TCTTAATGGACTGGACATAGATGTGACGTAAGATACTATGTGAGATTGACAGTTATATGAATGTAATTTCAAATAATACATGAAGAAAAAGCCATGAAAAACACTAAACACTTGACTTAGGTTAATCATAATTAATTAAACTGGGATTGACCTTCTTAGTATATTTTAAGATATAGCTGACAAACTCTTGATAAGGTTTTATGTGAGGGAGGTCTTAGGTGGGGATGGCCTTTTTTGCTCTCTAGTTGACTTACGAGTTTATATTAATCACATCACATTTTGTTAATCCGTTTTTAACTTTATGTAAATTATCCATACATGACGGATGCATTTTGAAGAGAAAAACATCATTCATGATGTATTGTATGTAGCTGTATATGTCATGCTGTCCATACAACTCAATATCTTTTTATCGTCAGTTGTTGATTAAGGGGTTAAAGGATTTATTAAGATATATGAAAATGTGTAATGGACGATCTAAAACATTGTTTTCTGACAGAATATAGAATCTAGATATTCAAGAATAAACTGTTTTAAATTATAGGTGATAATTGACAAGTTGAAATCTTCTCTTATGGATGTTTTACAGATTAATGTCTATTCGTCTTTTAAGTCAATAGCCAAGTGCAATAAGCATGGCTAGGCTTTCATCGGACATGATGGGAGTTTCTCTACACTTATTAGGGTACATTTTATGAGGTTTTAAATGATACAAAACAATAGTAATGTGACACGTATTTTTCTGTGTGTATGAATATGTATGCACAACTCACAAGTATTTTATACGGTAGAGGGTAGGGTGTCTTCTTCAAGCCATCCCTCTAAACCTTCTGTCATATATATGAAACAAATATACCACACAGAATTTAAAGAGTCAACATAATCAAAAAGAAAAACGTAAGAACAAAACTCAAGTAAGATTCTTCATATACATAATATATGAATCAAGAAGAGCATATTATGAAGAAAGGAGAACGATCAATGTCTTGCTTCTCCGAGACGACCACTACTACTTCCTCAAAATCAATCTACATTAATCCCATGACGGCCAAGACGACATCATCGGAAAATGACGACGTTTCACTCTCTCTTCTATACAATCTCTCCACCATTCAAGACAAATTCCATCAGATCCAATCTCTGGTCAGCTTCTTCATGATCTCTGCTAATAACAATAACCAATCCTTGGGGTCAACGTCCTCTTTGGCCGTGGCTAACATCGGAAGTTTGGTTCAAGAGATCATCACGGCGGCTTCTTCAATGATGTCCACTTGCCAACAACTCCACATCTCATCTAACGTTCAAACCGTAGATGCAATGGTTATGGAGTTTTCCGGACAAGAAATCGACCTGGATCATGATTTCTTGCAAGAGTCGTCAACTAACTTTCTCGGTATCCAAGAAAGAGGGCAGATCTCGTTTCTCGACCAGACTACACAAAACCTTGAGTGGTACGGTACCCAAACCCTAAACCCTACAAAAGGTCACCAGCGTTCTAAACCAAGATCCGGGATCTACGAGATACTGGAGTTAGACGTAGCGGATCTACTAGCAAAATACACGCATTACTGCAAGATTTGCGGGAAAGGGTTCAAGAGAGACGCGAATCTAAGGATGCACATGAGAGCACACGGAGACGAGTACAAGACACGTGAGGCCTTGATCAGCCCTACGAGCCATGACAAGAAAGTCGAACACTCGTTGAAGAAACATTACTACTCGTGCCCTCAACAAGGGTGTAGATGGAACCAGAGGCACGAGAAGTTTCAACCGCTGAAGTCCGTGATTTGCGCCAAGAATCATTACAAGAGGAGTCATTGCCCTAAAATGTACATGTGCAGGAGATGCAGCGTGAAGCACTTCTCGGTTCTGTCCGATCTTAGGACGCACGAGAAGCATTGTGGGGATATCAAGTGGGTTTGCTCTTGTGGGACTAGCTTCTCTAGGAAAGACAAGCTCGCGAGTCACGTTTCTTTGTTCTTGGGCCACTCACCGGTTCATGGGGCGTCGCAGCTGCAGCCGCCGATGGTCACCAACTAATGCAAGATCAAGGCCTAAATTCGAGTTCGCAAGAGAATTAAAAGACGTTGTCCCTTCGACATTTTTTCTTTATCTCTATTTTCTATAGTCCCTCCCTAGATTAATGTTACTATGATGATATACCAAGACGTATTGTCAAAATGAATTGTGCATTAACGTTAATGTTACAAATTATTTTGTTATCGGTGAGAAATTTTGTTATCCCTATGTTCTGAATAATGTCTAAAATGTTGAGAAAAGTAGAAAACAACTAACTACTAAAATGATGCCGCCAATTTTTATAGTGCGGTTTAGATGGGGACCACATATGGTTTGCAATTTAGTTAGGCTGCATTTGCATACATATGCATGTTTGGTCCTTTGAAATAGGTCTTTTGGAGCATTCTGGAGCATATGGGACGTGAGGAGCATGGAGGGACTTGGGCATGGACGCAGCTCAACTGGACACGCAAAGGAAGAAGGGAGAAGCCATCTTGAAGACCAGCTCGACCACCTACTCGGTCGAGTTCCTCAACTCGACCGGCCAAGCTTCAACTCGATCGAGCTGGAAGTCAAAGTCAAACCCGAAAAATGTTGCTTCCCCCTTGACTTTCCTTTGACCCTAAACCTAAATCCTCTTGTATTTAAAGGCTCTAAGCCACGAAAAAACCACCAAGCTTTAGATTACTTTTGTTTTAGTTTCTTTTAATTTATTGTCTTTTACTTTTTAGAGCTCTAATCCCATCTTTGTGTTCTTGAAGCTCTTGCTTCTTGAATCCTAGATCCTGGATAATCTCTTTTGTATTTGCACTTGCTTATTTCAATAAAAGTTGTTTATTTCATCTCCTCTTTCTTATGATGTCTCTTTTATTGCATTTGCTTGTGTTTACATTCATGTGTAGTGAGTAGTTACCCATTAGGGTTTGAGATGGGATAGATTAGAGGTTTCATATGCTTAATCCTTCTTGCTTATGGTCTTAATCTAGATTCTCTCTCTTTTGGATAGATCTTAAGGCTACATGACCACTACCCCTGGCTTGTATGTCCTTAGGCGATTCTCCACATGGAAGTGATGGCAAATCGCTGGAAAAGATCCACTAAGAGCTCCAATATCTCTTGCTCTAGAAATAGAGGTCTAAGGGGTTGGATGGATTAGTTTGGGCAATGATCCTATGGCCTCCAAGGTTTGATTCTCACTGGCTAACCCCCTGTTTCTGAGATCATTCCTTGGTTGATAGCCTCCACCTTGGGAAAGGGTTGGCTAGGCATTGAGAAGCCCAATATCAAGAGAAGCCTTGATACAAGGAGTTTTAAGAGCTAGATTGATTAAGTGTAGATTCCTTTGATTGCAAAACCCTGTCTTGAACCCTAATTCTCTCTTTAGCTTGTTAAAGTCGCTCACCTTTAGCTTTTTCAACTTCCCTAAACTCGATCGAGCTCGGTACTCTGTTCCACTCGACTCGAGTCCTTGGTCGAGCTGTTGCTTCTACTGCTTTTTTACTTTTATTGCATTGCTTTCATTTTCATTTAGGTTGTTAGTGTTACCAAATCTATTACTGCTTGCTTGACTTCCTGTTGTTTCATATTCTCATAGAGTGACAAGTTTCCCATTTTGGATTGATAACCCTTTACTATACATGACTATGATGGTTAAAGGGAATTGTTGACTGTGTTTGTGTTTGCATCTTACCACCTCATCATATACCACTGTTGCATTCCACCACATCTCATTTCATATCTTTCACATCCACACACAAATCCTATCATCAATTTGGCGCCGTTGCCGATTTGGGAATATTTTTGTTGCATTTGAGTTTCAAACACACTTGGACGATCAAGCTATACCACCCCTGTTCTATTGTACTGCTGGGTTTTTGTCTCTTTTTGCAGGTGTATGCGAACTCGATCGAGTCGGTCTACAGAAGACTTGGTCGAGCTAGACTTACAACGGGTAGAAAGAGGGTTCAGAGGTCACAGAGGGTACAAGAGGAACCTGAGGTGCTTGTTGCTGATACAATGGATGTACCAGAGGGGAATGGAAACCCTTTGGGCAATGGACTCGGTCGAGCTAGGCAAACTCGACCGATTGGTCAAGGAGATGCTCCAAACCGCCACCAACAGAGACAAGGGATTGTTCCACCACCAGTGCAGAACCACAACTTTGAGATCAAGCTGGGAATGATCAACCTTGTCCAGAACAAGATGTTCCATGGATTGCCAAGTGAAGACCCCATTGACCACCTTGATGAGTTTGATAGGCTTTGTGATTTGACAAAGATCAATGGTGTCTCTGAAGATGCCATCAAGCTGAGACTCTTTCCTATGTCTCTAGCTGACAAAGCTCACCAATGGGAGAAGAGCTTGCCCCATGGCACAATCACCACTTGGGATGAATGCAAGAAGGCCTTTCTTGCTAAGTTTTTCTCCACCGGTCGCACAGCCAAGCTTAGAGGAGAGATATCCAGCTTCATCCAGCGAAACAATGAGACATTCGCAGAGGCTTGGGAGAGGTTCAAAGGGTACACAAGTCAGTGCCCACACCATGGATTCAACAATGAATCACTACTCTCCACTCTTTATAGAGGATGCTTGCCTAGGTATAGGGAGATGCTAGACACAGCTAGCAATGGGAACTTCCTCAACCAGGATGTAGATGATGGCTGGCAACTTGTGGAGAACATAGCTAACTCAAATGGAAGCTATGGAGAAGAGTATGATCGCACCAACCGGAGCTCGACCCACCACTCGATCGAGTCAGACGAAAAGTTGAGAAAAGATGTTAAGGCATTGAATGAGAAGTTGGATAAGCTGATCCTAGCTCAGTCCACAATGAAGAAAGTCAACTTTGTGTCTGCTGAGGAGATGGAACCAGTCCAAGAAGGGGAGGATACACAATTTGCTGAGGTATGCTACATGAGCAATGGGCAAGGAGGTTACAACAAAGGATACTATAACTACAAGTCCAACCCTGCCATGTCATACCGCAACACTGATGTTGCTAACCCTCAGGACCAAGTCTATCCTCAACAACAAGCAGCTCGATCGAGTCAAGGACACAACATGGGTATGGTCAAAAGAACAATTACCAAGGACCACAAGGCACTTTCCCTGGACAACAAATGAATATCCCACCAGGCTTCCCCCACCAACCGCCCCAGCCTGCACCTTCACAAGAGAATGAGCTCAAAGCAATGCTAAAGCAACTACTTCAAGGGCAAGCTGATGGGGTAGTGGACACAAGCAAGAAGCTAGCTGAAATAAACTCTAAGATCGAGAACCTCAACACAAGGGTTTACTCTCTGGAGAATCATGCTTCTTCTGTTGCTGCTGCTACAAAGCAAGGACAACTACCTGGTAAAGCTATTCAGAACCCCAAGGAACAGTGCAAGGTCATCTTCACTCAAGAAGGACTTGTTGAAGAAGAGGATCAAGAAAGGGTCATTGAAGATTTTTGTTTACTGCTGAATGATGAAGAGATTGTTGCTGCTGAGGCTCCTGGAGTCCAGATTGATCAACCAGAAGTGCATGCACCTACTGTGGCCATTCACACTTCACCAGTTGAGCTCGCACGACAAGCTCGATCGGCAGCTCGATCGAGTCCAACTCTAGCTCGATCGAGTCCGACCTCTTCTGTCCGACAGCCTGTTTTGCTTGATCCTTATCAACCGGTTGCCGCTTCCTCGTCTCGCCTACTTAGTCAAGGTCACAAGGAAGTGATTCACAAGTTCAGAAGAGATCTCAGTGGGATTGGAATTGAGTTGCCTCTATGGATAGCATGAGTGAGGCATTTGATCAAATGCAAATGGTCAAGGATGTTCTGCCAACAGTGATAAAGTTTCAGAGGTCCTACAAGAGTCTACTCATCAGTTCAACCTGCTTACTTCACCCACCTTCCTACCAAAGGTCAAGGATCAAGGGAAATTCACTCTCCCTTGCACACTTGGGCATCTTGAGATTGACAATGCCTTAGTGGATTCTGGAGCAAGCATCAATCTGATCTCTCTCTCCATGGCAGAGAAGCTAGGCATAGCTGGAGCCTTGCAGCGCCCTACTACTTCAATCATGTTTGGAGATGCAACTTCTAAGTCTCCTCTTGGAGTGTTCAAGAACTATCACTTGAAAATTGGAGAATGCATCATCCAAACTGATCTCACTGTGATGGAAATGGAAGAAGAGAAGGATTTGCCTTTTATTGGGAACCCCTTTCCTTAGTACAGTTGGCGCTTCAATTGACTTTCACAAGCAAGAAGTGATCCTTCACAAGGTGAATAGTTTGGTGTCATATCGCTTGCAGCCTAGAGGTTCAGACTTTTGTGCCACAATTGACAGTACCAATCTCAGTTCTAAGAGTCATGGAGCTACAAAGGTTGTGAAGGAAAGGGTTGACAAGGAACCAAGAGTTGGGAAGGATAAGGATGAGAGAGGACCAAGGATTGAGAAGCCACGTCTTGAGAGGGCTAGAGTTGAGAAACCACGATCTGATAGGCCAAGAGCTGAGCGACTTGTTCAAGCCCCTTGTGTGCTTGATGAAGAGAGCCTTCAAGCTTTGTTTGATGAGCCACTAGGAAGGGCTCTACAAGAAGGGGAGGATGCAGCCTCTAAGGCAAGACCAGGAGATAAAAGAAAGGATCCACCAGCTCAGGCCCCTTCAGTCAAGCCATCTCAGCTCACAATGACTTTGTTCCCCACCAAGTTTGAAAATGGGAAGATTGAGTACAAGATAAGGTACAAGGGGAGATCAAGGCCATTCTCTAGAGCCAAGGCCATAGTGACTTCAGAACAGTCCAGGGACCCAACCAAGCTAAAGGAGCTTCTGTCTCAAGTCCTCACTATCACCCTTGATGGTGGGACTAGCTCAACCAATGCCTAAGAAGGTAAAGGTCAAGCTATGGGACCTTAAACAAGCTCACTTGGGAGGAAGTCCCATGTTTATCCTTGTACATACTCTATTTATGCAATTTCTATCTATCTTTATGTTTTTAACCTTTCAATAAGTTAAGTTTAGGTGTCTAAGGAGCCAGCTCGACCACGCTCGATCGAGCTAGAAACCAGGGCAACTCGATCGAGTTCTCAACTCGACCAAGGTAAGTTTTTGAATTTCAAATTCATAACCGTTTTTTGGTCAAGGGAGTGGGTCCCACAAGCTGATTTTGGTCCCCCACTACCCTAATTCGATCAGAGAATCCCTAGTTTCTTGTTCCCTCTTTATTTCCCATCTTTTAATCTCAACCACACATCTCAAACAACTCTCTTCCCCATAACTCGATCGAACCCACTTCCTCTCTCCCACACTCTAAATTTCTGAAACTCATCCATCTCTCTCTTCACCACAAGAAATTTTTCGAATTTCTTTCTCTCTTAGTTTTTGCGATTTCATGTTCATCTTCTTGTTTTGCTTAGTTTTGTTTACTGCTCTTCAATTCCATCATTCAACAAGGTATGAACCCTAAAACCCTTCTCCTCCATCTCGATTCCTTTTGCTTGTTTTCTCTTGATTTTGATTGCATGTGTCCCTTGTGGACTTGTTATTGAGAATTGCTTTCATTTTCGCCTCTGCCATGTAACTTGTTAGTTTTGCTTCACCTCACCTCTGTTTTGCCTTTAAACTTGTTGCATGTGATTGAAAGGTTGAATTTGAGTTTGGTAATGGTTAGGTTGCTATGTTTTCACTAGAATTGCTTATTGTTCCATTTACTAGTTGTTCTTGGTTCAATTTGATTGATTAGCATCCTTTCCTGCTCTTAATACATGAATTAGGTTTGGTTATACTCTGCTTTCACCCAACTCGATCGAGTTTGTCACTCGAGTTTTTTGACTCGATCGAGCTGAGTGTCGAGTTGACCAAACCGATCATTACAACTCTAATTTTTGAACTTTTGATGCATTTCAGGGACCAATCTAAGATGTTGAGAGGTGAAGGAAGCAAGCAGCGTTCACAAGGAGGGAGATGATAAGAGGAGCAAGGAGGATACTCAAAACACAAACCAAGGAGGACATAGAAGAGGTTGAGAGGGTGAGGGAAGAAAGGAGAACCAAAAGAAGGAATGATCCTCTCAGCAGTGAGAGCGAAGCAGGAGAGTTTGAAATTGGGGTGAACATCCCACATGAGGAGAATGATGACTCCCCAAGTGAAGAAGAGGGTGAAGAGATCAATCAAGAGATTGAGGAGAGTGAGCATGAGGGCAATGAGAATGTGCCCATGGAAGAGGAGGAGTCAAGTGAAGAAGAGGATGAGCTCCCCATGTACCAAGAGCACTATGATGCTCTTTCTCCATGGACTTCATGGACACCAAGTACCCACATGTTGACACCATGAAGGCCCTTGGAATCTTTGAAGATGTGGAGTTGGTCCTCAAGAACATGCACTTGGCCAAGCTCTTCTCCTACCACATGGAATCCTACAAGGAGCTCACTTGCGAGTTCCTAGCTTCAATGAGGTACCACATGTATGAGGAGAAGATAGAGCTGATTTGGACCAAGGATTGGGATGGATCACGTTCTTGGCTAAGGGAGAGAAGAGAATGGTGACCTTTAGGCAGCTGGAGATCTTGTTTGGGTTCAACTATGGAGAGGGAACCAAGTGGAACTTCAAGGAAAAGGAACTCCAAAGGGTTTGGGCTACAATCGCTGATGGAGTGTACTCTTCCTCAAGGTCCAAGGCAGCTCAGATCAGGAGCCCAGTCTTGAGATATGTGCACAAGGCACTTGCCAACACCTTCTTTGCAAGGAAGGCAACCGGGACAATCAACGAGGGGGAACTCAAGTTTCTTGACATGGGAATCAAGCCCCTTCTCTCACGCACAAGCGATGGCAAGAGGATAAGGGGAGATAGGTCTGACACAGGGAACTTGATGCCTTTCCTTGACCACCTCCTCACCTACAAGATCACAGCTTACAACACTAGGCACCAAAGAGGAAGAAAGCTTAGTATTGGAGGGCTCATCACACCTATCTTGTGTGCTGCTGGAGTAAACCCAACTGATAGGAGAGCTACTGAACCAGGTTGGATGGACATCAAGTTTTGCAAGACCAACCTCCTCATTGAGCACAAGGAGTTAGATGGGAGGTTCCAATTCAAGTTCACACATCCATTGGTTGGACCCTCCAAGTTTCTCCTGCCTAACCCAGAGCTCACCACAGTTGTAAGGGGTGAGAACATTGATTTTAGACCCCCTGTGTACACATTAGTTGGGCATGAGGATGATCTGCGAGAAGAGGAGCCTGAGCTCGATCGAGCTGAGTCTCGAGCTGAGGGTCGAGCTGGTCTGAGGAGCCTCAGTTTGAGACCCTGGATTCGAGTACGATCAACCAGTACCAGGACTTCTCTCAGACCAACTGGACCCCTACAACCGCTTCGAGCGAGCACAGCTCCACCAAGGCCAAGGAAGCCACACACACTTTGAAGATGAAGAAGAAGAGGAAGAGGAGCCGCAAGCTCGATCGAGTGAGCCAAGAGGCAACCCAGTTGATGGAGTGCTCCTGATGGCCGTCTACCATCTCCAGACCACGACCTAGCCTCCCAGTTCTTTGGGGGGCACTGAGGTATCCAAACACCAACCCTTGTATATACCATTTCATATTTTCTTGCATTTGTTCTTGTTTTTCTTGGTTTTGCCCTCTTGAATCTTTCACTAAATTTTTCTCACACAAGGGACTGTGTGATTTAAGTTTGGGGGAGGGTTCAAGAGATGATTTAACCTTGTTTTCTTTGTTCTTAGTTTTTCATTTATCTTTTGCATAGAAAAACCAAAAAAATCATAAAATTTTCAAAAAATCCAAAAATATTTTCATCTTTTTGCATTCATATTTGTTAGACTTGTTTAGGATTGCATTTTTCACTTGCATTGTTGATTTGACTTTGAAAACTTGTCCATCTTTTGCGATTTCTTGAGTGCCCTGTTTTTAGATTCTTTTGTGCATTAGGGTGAGATTGATTGAGCAGCAAGAACCATGTTTATCTTGATCATATCACTGCATGCACATCTCATTCAACCATTGCTGTGATTTGATGCATTTCCCTATCTATTTGAACCATAACTTGATCTTTAATTACCAATGCTTGCATTTGATTTCAACTCATGGCTACCACATACATATCTGGACATTCTTTATCACCTTTCATATCCCTTTGCTTGTCCAGATAGCTGATCTCTATCTTTGAGACAGTTACCACACCTTAAACCTAAGCCTTTTCATTTCAAACCCCATTATTATCTCTTGTGCGAATGTGAGAACCTTTCTTGGCTTTGCTTAGCATAAGGTGTTGTGTTTAAACCGGCAGGGGCAGTAGTTCTAGTTGTCTAGTTCTCTTGGGATTGTTTTCAGGCTAAGTTTGGGGGTGCCAACTCGAGCTCGATCGAGTTGGGTGTAAAAACCAGAAAAGTGGTAAAAGTTGGGAAAAACCCAAAGGAAAAAGAGTTTAGTTAAGTCCAGGGAGTTGGCAGTGTTAAAAAGGGTCTAGTAAAGGTTTGGGAAGTTAAAAAAGGAAAGTAAAAAGGGTTCTAAGTAGAATGAAAAGAAGGCAAAGCCTCAAGTGTCAAAAAGGAAAGAAAAGTTCCCTAAGTGTTTAGAAAATCCCAAACCGCTAGATGTTACCTCAAGAAGCCTCTCCCTAGGAAGTTCTTAAAAGAAAAGTGAGCAAAGCTCCTCAGTTTCAAAGGCGAAATGCCAAAAAGGGTAGTTAGGATTTTGTTCTAAAAAGCTCTAAGTGTTGAACTCGATCGAGTTAGGATTAGGCGGCTCGAGCTGCTGTTCTTGCATCATCTTTGGTTCTAACACTTAGCCTTCTGCCAAAGCAAAGCCACTTTCTTGAGAGATCCCTGTTACTAAACCACCATACAAAAGAGACCCTCTTTGTCTCTTAACCCATAAACCCTTGAAACCAAATGAGTTGATTGATCTTGCATGTTTTTGGTTCACTGTTTTTGCTTAATGAATGTTAAAGGGATTTGCTGATTTGAATGCATTGTTTGAGTGACTGTGAAGTGGGATTGATGTTGATAAGCATGGTTAAATCTTAATGAATATCTCTCACCTTGTTGCATTCTAGAATCTCTAAGTTGGACATTTAGCAAATCGCTTTTGAGGACATGTTTTTAAGTGTTGAATCAATTTTTTCAAACCTCATCTCTTTCTTGTTCTATTTGTTTGCTTGAGGGCAAGCAAAGTTCAAGTTTGGGGGTGTTGATGTACTTGCATTTTACATAGTTTTAGCACATCTTTTATGCATCTTTTGCATAGTTTTAGCTTCCATTTGCATCATATCTTGTTCCTTTTCTCTTCTTATGCATTCATGTTAGTTTTAGGTTGCATTTGCATACATATGCATGTTTGGTCCTTTGAAATAGGTCTTTTGGAGCATTCTGGAGCATATGGGACATGAGGAGCATGGAGGGACTTGGCACATGGAAGCAGCTCAACTGGATACGCAAAGGAAGAAGGGAGAAGCCATCTTGAAGACCAGCTCGACCGTCCACTCGACCAACCGGTCGAGTTCCTCAACTCGACCGGCCAAGCTTCAACTCGATCGAGCTGGAAGTCAAAGTCAAACCCGAAAAATGTTGCTTCCCCCTTGACTTCCTTTGACCCTAAACCTAATCCTCTTGTATTTAAAGGCTCTAAGCCACGAAAAAACCACCAAGCTTTAGATTATTTTGTTTTAGCTTTTCTTTAATTTATTGTCTTTTACTTTTTAGAACCTAATCCCATCTTTGTGTTCTTGAAGCTCTTGCTTCTTGAATCTTAGATCCTGGATTAATCTTCTTTGTATTTGCACTTGCTTATTTCAATAAAAGTTGTTTAATTTCATCTCCTCTTTCTTATGATGTCTCTTTTATTGCATTTGCTTGTGTTTACATTCATGTGTAGTGAGTAGTTACCCATTAGGGTTTGAGATGGGATAGATTAGAGGTTTCATATGCTTAATCCTTCTAGCTTATGGTCTTAATCTAGATTCTCTCTCTTTTGGATAGATCTTAAGGCTACATGACCACTACCCCTGGCTTGTAAGTCCTTAGGCGATCCCCACACGAAAGTGATGGCATTCGCTGGAAAAGATCCACTAAGAGCTCCAATATCTCTTGCTCTAGAAATAGAGGTCTAAGGGGTTGGATGGATTAGTTTGGGCAATGATCCTATGCCTCCAAGGTTTGATTCTCACTGGCTAACCCCCTGTTTCTGAGATCATTCCTTGGTTGATAGCCTCACCTTGGGAAAGGGTTGGCTAGGCATTGAGAAGCCCAATATCAAGAGAAGCCTTGATACAAGGAGTTTTAAGAGCTAGATTGATTAAGTGTAGATTCCTTTGATTGCAAAACCCTGTCTTGAACCCTAATTCTCTCTTATCTTGTTAAAGTCGTCACCTTTAGCTTTTTCTCAACTCGACCCTAAACTCGATCGAGCTGGTACTCTGTTCCACTCGACTCGAGTCTTGGTCGAGCTGACTTCACTGCTTTGTTTACTTTTATTGCACTGCATTTCATTTTTAGGTTGTTAGTGTTACTTCAAATCTATAACTGCTTGCTTGACTTTCTGGTTGTTTCATATTCTCATAGAGTGACAAGTTTCCCATTTTGGATTGATAACCTCTTATACTTCAATGACTATGATGGTTAAGAGGAATTGATTGATTGTGATTGCACCATACCATTCATCATTATTCACCACTGTTGCATTCCACTCATTTCATATCATTTCACATATCGCACACGCAATCCTTATCATCAGACTAGCTCAACCAATGCCTAAGAAGGTAAAGGTCAAGCTATGGGACCTTAAACAAGCTCACTTGGGAGGAAGTCCCATGTTTATCCTTGTACATATTCTATTATTGCAATTTCTATCTATTTTCGTGTCTTTAACCCTTCAATAAGTTAAGTTTAGGTGACAAAGAAGCCAGCTCGACCGACAGCTCGATCGAGCCAGAAACAGGGGCAACTCGACCTAGGTAAGTTTTTGAAATTAAAATTTTTAAATGTTTCCTTGGTCAAGGGAGTGGGTCCCACAAGTAAATTTTGGTCCCCCACTACCCTAAATCGATCAGAAAAACCCCTAGCTTTTGTTCCCTCTTTATTTCACCTTTCAATCCCAACCACACATCTAAAACACTCCCTCTTCCCCATAACTCGATCGAACCCCCATCTCTCTCTCCCACAATCTTAAAAATTCTGAGAACCTCCATCTCTCTTCACCACAAGAAAAAAAAATCGATTTCCCTCTTTCTCTTTTAAGTTTTTCGATTGTTCATTGTTCATCATCTTGTTTTGCTTTAGTTCTAGCTACTGTGATTCTTCAATCATCATTCAAGCAAGGTATGAACCCTAAAACCCTTGATTTCTTCATCTCGATTTCTCTTTATTGCTTGTTTTCCCTTTGATTTTGATTGCATGTACCCCTTGTGGGCTTGTTCTTGAGTATTTGACTTCATATCATTCTCCTGTTTATATTTTTGTGAATTTGCCTCACCTCACCTCTGTTTTACCTTTAGAACTTGTTGCATGTGTTTAAAACATTGAATTTGAGTTTGGTATTGGTTAAGATGCTTGGGTTTTCACTAGAATTGCTTATTGTTCCATTTACTTGTTGTTTTTGGTTCGATATGATTGACAAGTTCTCTTTCCAGCTCTTATTATTTGAATTAGGTTCGGTTATACTCTGTTTTCACCTAGCTCGATCGAGTTTGTCACTCGAGTTTTTTGACTCGATCGAGCTTTGTGTCGAGTTGACCAAACCGATCATTACAACTCTAATTCTTTGTAATCTTTGATGCATTTCAGGTACTTTAGTGAAAAAACAGTGTAACAGAGATGATAAAAAGTGGGGGAAGTCGCACTTCACAAAGAATGGTTGAGGGTGAATCAAGCAATGCAAGGGAGAGAAGGCTTAAAATACAAGCCGATTTGGCGGCAATGACTCAAAGGATGGAAGAGTCTGATGCAGAGGAGTATGTCTACTCTGAGGAGGAGTCTGAGAGCGAGAGACTGAGGGAGGAAAGGAGAACCAAAAAGAGGAATGACTCCATTAGTAGTGAGAGTGAGCAAGGAGAGTTTGAGATTGGGGTGAACCTTGTTCAAGAGGAGGGTGATGGTTCTCCAAGTGAAGAAGGAAGTGATGACTCTGAAAGTGAAGAGGAAGGAGAGGAAGTGAATCAATTGGTTGATGAGAGTGAGCAAGAGAGTAACCAAGATGAACCCATGGAGGTTGAGCCACAAGAGAAGGAGGAAGAACTCCCTATGTACCAAGAGCACTACAATGCTCTCTTCTCCATGGATTTTGTGAAAACAAGATACCCACATGTTGACACAATGAAGGCCCTTGGAATCTTTGAGGATGTGGAGCTAGTTCTCAAGAACATGCACTTGGGAAAGTTTTTCTCTCATCTCACCTACAAAGAGCTCACTTGCGAGTTCTTGGCTTCAATGAGGTACCAAATTGATGTACTTGCATTTTACATAGTTTTAGCACATCTTTTATGCATCTTTTGCATAGTTTTAGCTTCCATTTGCATCATATCTTGTTCATTTTCTCTTCTTATGCATTCATGTTAGTTTTAGGTTGCATTTGCATACATATGCATGTTTGGCCTTTGAAATAGGTCTTTTGGAGCATTCTGGAGCATATGGACATGAGGAGCATGGAGGGACTTGGCGCATGGAAGCAGCTCAACTGGACACGCAAAGGAAGAAGGGAGAAGCCATCTTGAAGACCAGCTCGACCACTACTCGACCAACCGGTCGAGTTCCTCAACTCGACCGGCCAAGCTTCAACTCGATCGAGCTGAGAAGTCAAAGTCAAACCCGAAAAATGTTGCTTCCCCCTTGACTTTCCTTTGACCCTAAACCTAAAACCTCTTGTATTTAAAGGCTCTAAGCCACGAAAAAACCAAAGCTTTAGATTATTTTGTTTTAGCTTTCTTTAATTTATTGTCTTTTACTTTTTAGCAACCCTAATCCATCTTTGTGTTCTTGAAGCTCTTGCTTCTTGAATCCTAGATCCTGGATTATCTGCTTTGTATTTGCACTTGCTTATTTCAATAAAAGTTGTTTAATTTCATCTCCTCTTTCTTATGATGTCTATTTCATTGCATTTGCTTGTGTTTACATTCATGTGTAGTGAGTAGTTACCCATTAGGGTTTGAGATGGGATAGATTAGAGGTTTCATATGCTTAATCCTTCTAGCTTATGGTCTTAATCTAGATTCTCTCTCTTTTGGATAGATCTTAAGGCTACATGACCACTACCCTGGCTTGTAAGTCCTTAGGCGATTCCCCACACGGAAGTGATGGCATTCGCTGGAAAAGATCCACTAAGAGCTCCAATATCTCTTGCTCTAGACAATAGAGGTCTAAGGGGTTGGATGGATTAGTTTGGGCAATGATCCTATGGCCTCCAAGGTTTGATTCTCACTGGCTAACCCCCTGTTTCTGAGATCATTCCTTGGTTGATAGCCTTCACCTTGGGAAAGGGTTGGCTAGGCATTGAGAAGCCCAATATCAAGAGAAGCCTTGATACAAGGAGTTTTAAGAGCTAGATGATTAAGTGTAGATTCCTTTGATTGCAAAACCCTGTCTTGAACCCTAATTCTCTCTTATCTTGTTAAAGTCGTCACCTTTACTTTTTTGTCTAACTCGTCCCACAACTCGATCGAGCTGGTACTCTGTCCTACTCGACTCGAGTCCTTGGTCGAGCTGACTTGCTTTACTGCTTTGTTTACTTTTATTGCATTGCATTTTCATTTCTTAGGTTGTTAGTGTTACTTAAAACCTATAACTGCTTGCTTGACTTTCT